AAACTCACATTCTTCATCGATAAATACGTTTGTTTACCTTGCCAATATCTACGTTGAGCTATGTGATTTAAATTCCAACAGCATATTGGTATATGGGATCAAACACCGCTGCTCACTTCACTAATTCGTTATAGAAGATCGTATAAAAACTGGTCGTAATGATGTCCTGTTTTTATAAAGCAACAAATTTATTTACAATGTCAATCGTAAATACCCATCTGAACTTGAACTCGGACATGACAAAGTTCTCTACATCATCCGCTTCCACCATGGACAGCCATCTTACAAGCTGTACCATTAGCATACTGATTTTAAAAAAAAAATCAAGAAAATACTGATATGTAAACCTATTCATAATCAAAGTTTGAATTCCATAAAACTAGAGCAAAATATTATTTACATAGAGACATTTGAAAAATCACAAGAATAAGATCAGGTGTTCCGGAAGAGTAAGCGTCGTCTGCTTAATCGATGACATCCGCCATATAAACTTTGGTTTGTTTGGAGATGAAGGGAACCAGAAGGCAAACAGCAAAAACGTCCAGCATATGTATGTCAATAGTCTGTTTGAAGATCTTCCCAACAAACTCAACGAAGATAATATAAAACAGAAACCCGATCATTTTTATGATTTCGTTCCCAATATTTCTCCTTTGATTTGGAAGTATTTTCTTCACAAATTGATGTTTCCTTCGTGAACTTTATATTTTAAGATAACAACATTCCTTTTTCCCCAACCTGCTGTGTTTACATTATAGAGTTGCTTCGACGTTCATTGGGTTGTTCCAGATATCAAGATCTTCGTGAAAGGTGTTGATAGCACATATATGAACACACAATGCAGCGCTTCCACATATACAAGGTGATGCAGACTATTGGGTTGTTTCATTATCGTCATAAAGATGTTGTTTCTAGCTACATGTAGTAAAATTGATAGTTTTCTTTTTTTTTTTTTTTTTTTGAAAGTGACATTACTTCCTTGAATCGATCAAAATTACATAGCGGATGTCGTCCATGAAGCAGAATGCATTTCCTTTTTCGGAACAGGCAGAGTTATTTATACCTCTTCGAATTCTGTGCTTGAATTGAGATTCTGTTTGACGTATCGGTAGTTACTTTTTTATTATTATGCACTGACGAACTGATCGGTGAACTATTAAAATCTCCAATGACCAATAGGGAATCTACACCGGAGCGTGTCGGAAGTTCCCGAGGTATGAACGACTTTGCCTGTCTCTTCCATTGTAACTATCTTCTGATATGCAATTACACAATGTGTGCGCGTGTGTGTTGGGTTTGTGTGTGGGGGGTTGGTTGGTTGTGTGTGTGTGTGTATGTGTGTGTGTGTGTGTGTGTGTTGGTGTGTTTTGTGTGTGTGTTGTGTGTTTTGTGTGTGTGTGTGTGTGTGTGTGTGTGTGTGTGTGTGTGTGTGTGTGTGTGTGTGTGTGTGTGTGTGTGTGTGTGTGTGTGTGTGTGTGTGTGTGTGTGTGTGTGTGTGTGTGTGTGTGTGTGTGTGTGTGTGTGTGTGTGTGTGTGTGTGTGTGTGTGTGTGTGTGTGTGTGTGTGTGTGTGTGTGTGTGTGTGTGTGTGTGTGTGTGTGAGAGAGAGAGAGAGAGAGAGAGAGAGAGAGAGAGAGAGAGAGAGAGAGAGAGAGAGAGAGAGAGAGAGGTGTGTGTGTGTGTGTGGGGGGAGTGTAGGGGTTTGGACTAAAAGTATGGGGAAGTTTAATGATGGGCATGATGATCTCGCCGAGAAATAAACTTTTTTCTTTGTGTGATAGGAAGCTGGACTTGCTTAATGCTCGTTACCTGCTTGTCACGTTCTTGTTTATGTTGTTCTCATTTGGAAACATGACATCATACACTTAGATTTACGTGGCGGTTATCGTTGATGAAGAAGAAGACGTTTTCCATACCGGAATGCATGGTCAATTTATCCTGGTAACATTTCAAGAATTTCCGTGCAAATAATTCTTTTGATCTTACTTTACCCTTTCGTTCATATTTTGCCCTCGTTTCTTCGAATTTGTGTTTGAAAAATTATTCTCTTAACATGTCGGTATTCACTTTGTTGGTTTGAGTGATTGATACATAATGTTTATGCATACTTTATAGTGTAGAGGAAATACATTTAGGTGAATATCTTATTTCATTTTGTTGTCATTATATCACTATCTCATGGGATCAACCGTCATTGACTTATCCCTTCATAATTTCTTCATAAGTTTATCAACGGTTATATTGAATAATTATTTATTAACAACACTACTGCTTGAAATATGATTGAAAACATTTTTTGAACAGGTGGACATGCAGAAGCACTTAAAGTATGGAAACAAGAAGGTCAACTATTTGTTCTTGGATTAAGCTTCGTTTTCGATTTCGGAAGAGTTAAAGCCTCATGCTGTTACCCTTTTCTTGCTTGAGCATAAAAAGAACGAACCGAAAAATACATTTAAAGCGTTGCAATAAATATGCCAATAATACAAGCAATGTGCGTGATATATTTCTATATAAGAATCAGGCATCAGGATACCATTCACTATCCTGGTTTGCTTATCAGTTTCTTCATTATAAATTGTATAATGTATAAAATACGATAGAAAAAAGTCCAGGGTAAAACAGAATTCACCATGAAAAGGTCAGAGTATAGCAAACTCTGTAACATCAGTAATGCTTGGGATCGTTAGTGCAACGTGCTGTCTCCATAACGCTGTTGACAATACATTCATAGGAATGATCTCGCACTATTACGTAGACTATTTCATTTGACAAAACAAGAGGAAGGGTTCATTTCCACAATAGGTTTTCTATTTGTCCTTCGCGTACTTTTTATTTCTCTTGCATTTGAAAAGTATATGAATACATTAGTCTGTGTAAGTGTTAACTTAGCATTACAGTGGTACCAGGGAAAGTATCTGCCTTCTTTTTTGTACGTTCTATGATTGGGAATGCATCGAACCCATTGTTGTTTAGCTGTCCCATGTAAAGGTTTAGACTCGTATGGTTTTGCTATCTATGTTATCGAAGTGTTTATACAGCTCATGCTATTTGTAGTCGGAGTAATAGGTACGAAATACATTGTCAAAAAATTTTGTAAGATTTTCATTACAATTGATTATACAACAACTTAAGCAGACATGTTATGCCTGTCATTGTCTTTCTATTCACGGCCATATGTATATCTCAAAATGAACTGACAATCATCTCCATATTAACTGTATTGTCGTATTATGTCATAATAAAATGTGTTATATATATATATATATATCATTACGGGTGTTTGTTGTGAAGAAACTGTCTTGGTATTAATGGCTAAAGACAAGCCAGGAAATTAAAATACCATATACCTTATCATCGGGGTTCGTTTGGTGGCTACAGAAAAGTCATGAATTTAGAGTTGTACACTTCATTACCGTGGTTAGTTGTATCGACTCTCTTGTAGTATTTGTATTTATAGACAAACCTGGAAATCAAAGTATTACATACATCATTATCAGGGTTCGTTGTGTAGAAACTCTTGATACTAGTTGCTATAGGCATATATATATGTATTATACTATGTATTTTTTCTTTATTTTTCTTCCTTTTTACTTTTACTGTTACACATTTTTACACATTCGAATCAGCGTCTCGAATAATTACATATCTAAGTTTGATGATACATATGGTTTTTCTCTTAATTCAGTGTTATACTTGGCGTATACAAGACAACAAAAGTGTTGTACATGAAGCATCTAAAGAGGAAAGAGTTAACAAAAACAGTATTCGTGTCCAACTATTAACGAAAGGCTTTGAAAATGTACGGAAATGTATGATGCAATTTAATTCATTGCTGGTCTCTATCTGATTCTACGTTCGTATTAAAAGGGTGTTATTCTCCTGCTTGTTTTTGATAAAATTTCATACAATGACATAATTATCAACTTATATTCAATGAAACACCACATGCTGTAAATGTCTAACCATGTGCCGCCAGTGCAGTCATAATATCACGTACAAAGCCGAAATCTCTTTCATATTTATATATTATATATATTTTGGAAAAACGGAAGTAAGTAACAGTAATTATTCAGAAAGAACGAACACTTTTTAGATTTCACTATGTATAATTAGATGACACAATGCTTATGGTGTTATCAAAATTCAGCTATATTTTAGAATTGATGTCAACACGCAATGTTTTTCGCTTGGTTACACGGTAAGGTACTTCTACTTACATTAGGAATAGCAACGAAATCGATACCCTTGTCGCATTTGGTTCACAAGAGACAAAATGCTTTATCGCATGGCTGCGAAAAAGTGATGCTAACGGGTATGATGTTGTATCACCTACTCACGACTGCCAATAGGAAACCATTAAGGAGTTTCCGAGGCCTGCAAGGTAAGCATTATGGGGCTTTCACGACATAGCCAGATACGATTTCCAGGTAATTGATATATCGTTTTAGATGTCCATCTTTTATAATTTTTTTTATATCTATATCTGTGTCAGATTCGTCATCTCTATTCATTTCTTGCCAGGTTCGCTCTTGCCATCATCAGTAGAAAAAGAACTAATTCAAAACACATGTCTTTCAGACATCAATTCAATGAGTGCTTCATCATCTGCATCGGAACTGCGCGCCCAGTTCACAACTTGCAAAAACCAGCAGAGATAAGTTTAATTGATAGGCATGTTAAATTGATAAATGTTTAATTGGTAGATAGAAATGGAAGTGATGATTTAACAACTTCGACAGAATTACTTCTAACCATTGGCAGAAGTACTGACAAAGTATATTTCTGTACTATTTATAAGTATCCTTACATACTCTGTCTTGTTGGAATTGTATGGGAAGTGTTGCTGATTAAGAGTTTAAATAAATGAATGTAGCGGCAATTTTGATTACATTAACTCAATCTTATTTTGTAACAAAGAAACTCATGAAAAATAATACTGATGTTTTCTCTTTATTTACATCGTTTTTCCCATCTTACCACCTTCAGTGTTTTATGTTATTAATGTCTTTCATTGGAATGATATCGACACATCATTTTGTCCTTCCAAGTGAGGAGACGTGTACGAATTTCCGGTATGCGGGAGGCATAAATGATAGGATTAAAGGCTGAGTTTAAACATCCCAAATAGACCAGAATATGTCGGACTTGTCTGGAGAGCACGAAATCCTCAAACCATCCTTCCATAAACACCACAACTACAATCATGGGTGTCATTGTTATGAACAATATGACCGCTAGAATGATCAGCGTAATTACTGCCCTTACCTGGTGCTTTGTTGTTCGGGGGCGCCGTTGTCGCTGCGTGGGTGTCCCGGCAGTCAACGACTTTAGATATTGCACGCTTAGAGGCAATTCATCGCGTTCCTTTTTAAGATAATGATATTGTGTACTATGTTTTGAATCAACCAGAATTCTAGATCTTTGTGCTTCTGGGGTAAATTCTTGTGAAGTAGACGGACTAGGACAATATCCCGCATGTTTCACTTTTTTACCCCATGCTTCTTTAACACCAGTTTTATGCATCCTTGGTGGAGACTCCTTCCTGGTTCCTACACTTTCTCTCTGTAACCCTCTGTCGATCCTATTACCATAAAACAACCTACAATTTGAAGACGTTTTCTCATCTCTTTCCGAGTTTTCGTTGACAGATACGCGTCTGTGGTGCACAATATTCTTCGAACCTGTGTGACTAGATATTCTCTTCCGATAGATGGATCTATACAAAACTAAACTCATCAAAATACTCGAACCGATAATCAAAATCTCTGCGAATAAAAGAAGCAATGACCATGATTTCAGTAATGGGGTTGCTCCGTTACAGAAAAGTGTTTTGACCGCGCAGTGTGATAGATTGTAATTCTTTCCATAAACAGTGAATGGAGCTATGGTGATTAAACCGGAGGTGGACCAAGACGCAAATACAATGATCCAAAACCGAATTCGGGCTTGTTTCAAAGATATTGGAACACTTCTCAGGATTGCCCAAATTCTATCAAGACAGATGAAACATAAATGAATAATTGAAACTGCAATTGCAAAGCAGAAAACACAAAGTCTAACCCAACATTCATTATAGGAGATCTGCCGAACTGTGAAGGACTGGTACACCGGAAGAAGGGAAACGCATGTGAGCAGGTCGCTAAAACTCAGGCTAAGTATATGGATATTGGTGATAGTTTTCCCAAGACACCTTCCACTTATCATTATGATTATCACGGGTACGTTCAGGAACACAGATATCAGCGTGGTGAGCCCGACAACAAGATGTACGCCCATGTTTGCGGTTTCTGTATCGTCATCCAACACGGAAGACAGAATGTGGCTATTTGTTGAATTGTTCGTGGTTGATGCCATGGTTATAACTTTATACTCCACCTGCAAACTAAACAAAAATGTTGTTTTTTTTTCATGGAATATCAAAGACGTACCCAAATGCTTATACTCTAAAAATTGTTTACCAAAGCTAGAATATGAATTAGCACAAGCAATCATCTTGTTTTGTCATCATCCTAGTTAGTCTAATACAAGACACTGCAGAACAGGAAACAATTGAACAAAACAAGATGCGTACATATACATTCGGCATTAATTGTGCGATTAACAGCGAATTTTGACAAAATATCCCGGTGCAGTCTACAAACTTAAAAGTAACATATATTCTAAAGCTACAAAAAGCAAAACCAGTACCTTTGTATAAAACTTTTAAATGTGCAAACGATAGCTTCACATACTTTAAAAGTTACAAGAAGTTTTAAAAGCTGCAAATAAGGCATTCAACCTGAAACCTTCAAGACATGTACAAACTTAAAATGTACCAACAGCTGATAATAAAACCCAATAAACCGTTATCAGAATGAATTACTAACAGTCGCAACATAACCATTAACTGATACATAGATTAAATTACAAATAGTCGGAACCTAAACCATAAAACCGTTATCAGAATGAATTACCAACAGTCGCAAAATAGCCAATAAAATGAAACATAGATTGTATTACAAATAGTCGCAACCTAAACCATTAAACCCGTAATCAGAATAAATTACAAATAGTCGCAACCTAAACCATTAACCCGTAATCAGAATAAATTACCAACAGTCGCAACCTAAACCATTAAACCCGTAATCAGAATGAATTACCAACAGTCGCAACATAACAAGTATACTGATACAAAGATTAAATTACAAATAGTCGCAACCTAAACCATTAAACCCGTAATCAGAATGAATTACAAATAGTCGCAACCTAAACCATTAACCCGTAATCAGAATAAATTACCAACAGTCGCAACATAACCATTAACTGATACAAAGATTAAATTACAAATAGTCGCAACCTAAACCATTAAACCCGTAATCAGAATGAATTACAAATAGTCGCAACCTAAACCATTAAACCCGTAATCAGAATGAATTACAAATAGTCGCAACCTAAACCATTAAACCCGTAATCAGAATAAATTACAAATAGTCGCAACCTAAACCATTAAAGCCGTAAACAGAATAAATTACAAATAGTCGCAACCTAAACCATTAAACCCGTAATCAGAATGAATTACAAATAGTCGCAACCTAAACCATTAACCCGTAATCAGAATAAATTACCAACAGTCGCAACATAGCCAATAAAATGAAACATAGATTGTATTACAAATAGTCGCAACCTAAACCATTAAAGCCGTAAACAGAATAAATTACAAATAGTCGCAACCTAAACCATTAAACCCGTAATCAGAATGAATTACAAATAGTCGCAACCTAAACCATTAAACCCGTAATCAGAATGAATTACAAATAGTCGCATACCATAGATTGAATTACAAATAGTCGCAACCTAAACCATTAAACCCGTAATCAGAATCAAAACCATTAAACCCAGAATAATTACATTAAACCCGTAATCAGAATGAATTACAAATAGTCGCAACCTAAACCATTAAACCCGTAATCAGAATGAATTACAAATAGTCGCAACCTAAACCATTAAACCGTTATCAGAATGAATTAACAACAGTCGCAAAATAGCCAATAAAATGAAACATAGATTGTATTACAAATAGTCGCAACCTAAACCATTAAACCCGTAATCAGAATAAATTACCAACAGTCGCAACATAACAAGTATACTGATACAAAGATTAAATTACAAATAGTCGCAACCTAAACCATTAAACCCGTAATCAGAATAAATTACAAATAGTCGCAACCTAAACCATTAAACCGTTATCAGAATGAATTACCAACAGTCGCAACATAAGCAGTAAAATGATACATAGATTGAATTACAAATAGTCGCAACCTAAACCATTAAACCCGTAATCAGAATGAATTACAAATAGTCGCACCCTAAACCATTAAACCCGTAATCAGAATGAATTACAAATAGTCGCAACCTAAACCATTAAACCGTTATCAGAATGAATTACCAACAGTCGCAACATAACCAGTAAAATGATACATAGATTGAATTACAAATAGTCGCAACCAAAACCATTAAACCGTTATCAGAATGAATTACAAATAGTCGCAACCTAAACCATTAAACCCGTAATCAGAATGAATTACAAATAGTCGCAACCTAAACCATTAAACCGTTATCAGAATGAATTACCAACAGTCGCAACATAACCAGTAAAATGATACATAGATTGAATTACAAATAGTCGCAACCAAAACCATTAAACCGTTATCAGAATGAATTACCAACAGTCGCAACATAGCCAGTAAAATGATACATAGATTGAATTACAAATAGTCGCAACCTAAACCATTAAACCCGTAATCAGAATGAATTACAAATAGTCGCAACCTAAACCATTAAACCCGTAATCAGAATGAATTACAAATAGTCGCAACCTAAACCATTAAACCCGTAATCAGAATGAATTACAAATAGTCGCAATATAAACTGTTAAGCAAGTAAACAACAACATATAAATAGTAGCAACATTTACCTAAATCGGTTCTTAGACTGAATAATGAATTGTAGCAATGTAAACCATTAAACCAGTCCACAGGAAAAATACATATAGTAAGCTATAAAGTTAGTATAAAGAGTAATTCATTAATCTACCTTAATGGAAAATCAATGTATATTATGTGTTCATGATGTTGATCGTTATCTTGACACATCTATCTATGCAGCTTTAAAACGGTTTAAGTGTTGGTGCTACATTTAAAAAAAAATACATCCTATTAGCCGAACTCTCATTGAACGATAAATTCGTAAATTATTGAAATTGGTGACTCCCAGTCATGTTCTTTGTACAAGCACTCACCTTTGAACTGGTCTTCGCAAATGAAGATAACTGCATTCATAACATGAATAAAGAGTTTACTTGGACTCTCTTGTCTGCAATGTTAACAAACATCCAGGACGTCACAAACCCCTTACAAATAGTATGTTTTGCAACAGTATTTCCTATCTGGGTGTATCAACATCTACACCACGGTGTCTAGCATGTTACCCAATTAGTTTTCATATCAACAAAGCAAACATCTAGAAAACATCATCTTCCAAGCCCGCACTGAAAACAAATGACACAGCAATCTTTCTTAACACTACAGGTGGTGTGGTTTGTAATCAGGGTTCCGTGACGTCATGCTTGATGGTCCTCCATAATCATAAACATTGCAGAGGACAGAAAGCATACGAACTTCCTTACAGCTAACCAATCAGAACACCCACGTGACATTTTAGTAACTACCTGATATGATATCTGATTGTTATTCTCTCTCTAAGATTAATATGTCTTGTGTTGTTCCGTTACACTATCCTCGGCGCAATGCTGGATCTGGTAAATTACATATCTAATTGTTTTCTTTCCTTCATACCTGTATATTATTGTATTGAATGCCTCATTCGGACCAAATATGATTATAATTATATCAATGACATTGTATCAATGAGTTTAAATGCAAGCACGTTTTATACTACTCGTGTTTTTTATGATGAAATAACAAATTAAGATGTTCAACAATCTTACAACGAGTTTGTCTAAAATTTACCTAACTCTTATTCCCATAAAAATATGGGCGATTACGTAGAGATGTACAAAAAAAATATACAGAGGATTTCTTATTAAAGGGCGTATATACAATGTCACCACATAGTTATAGCCTGATAATGAAGATCTCACTGATGAGATTTCCACTAAAAGACAATTTTAAAATATGGTAATTATATTTTTTTCTATATTCTAGCTATTTAAGTCATATTACTAACATGTAATGACATAATACATAAGATAAAATGTGGTTGTGTGATGAAAAATCGTTCACCTTGTTCGACAATGCTTTTAGAACACTTAGATACACCTTCTAAATCTTTCCTGATACGCTAATTGCCCTTTCAATAACGTCTTTTATTAGATGCGTGTGCTGGTTTTACATCTTATGACCCAAGTAATAAAGATGTATGGAAGTTTGTTTCGACCTAATTTTATAATATCTGTTTGCATTTTTAAGAGGACTAGATCACATCACAAGTCGCCCGGAATAGCCAAACCAACTTCCGGTATAGCTGGCATTTATTTAATCATACACTATTTTCAAGACACGTTTATTAACGTGGATCACGATTTGACTGGTCACTAAAACACCAAATGGTTACAGATAATTGCTTCGTTTGACATTTTATACATAAAAAACGTGTTTTAAAACAAAGATTTCCAATTCATAATGACTTATGAGATAAAAAGTGTAAAACATGACTGTATATTTGGAACATGTAACCCTGTTGTACTATTTCGACAAAAGTAGTTGAGTTCGACACCAAATATTGAAGATAAAATATCTGTGTGAGATATCTTCATTCTAATGATACAGTTCATTTGCTAATTAATTTTTGCACGCATTTTCTATTGGAAGTTCATTCTTGTTAATTCCCGAGTTCTTTTCACAATGCAAATTTGTAAAAAGTATTTGAAAACAGCAAAGCCTAACAAGAGTGAAGCTTTATGATTACCGAAGCACAGGCATCAGATTGAAACACTGAATAGACGCATGTTAGTCATGGCTCGAAGATTCTAAAAGCTGATTTTAGTACAAATTGTTTGATTTTTATATCATATTTTCGTCTTCATCATTGTATTTGTAGTGTCCATGTAGTTCTGTTCTAAAGCTATACACATTATTGCTTCTCATGTATCAAATTCTTTGCAAAGTCACATATCTAATGCCAAATTAACCTGTATTCTGCAAACTATATTTAGTTGAAATATTCTTCAAGTTAATAAAAATGTATATCATTGTTTCATTAAATGAAGTCTAGTTGTATCATGTCTTCATCAAGGTAAAGCAGGATACAGCGTACACAACAGCAACGTTAACGGTACGTTTATACGAGGGAGGCAATTTCAATCACCTAGCTTCTTAATCTTTTTTACAAAATATCGAAGGATTGTTGAGGAATACTTTGTATCCGTTATAGTACTGTTTTAACTCTCAATGAATCTTATTCTGTTCATAGTGTGGAGGATCAATTGTTGTCAATCATCTATGGTATTCTGTTGACTTTTCATCATAACACGAAACTCAGAGATCAACAGATATTTGCATGTAACGGATACATGTACAAATGTATCAGATCAAAACTAATAATAAAGGGACAACACCACGTACATCAATCTGTTTCCATGCCATGCATCTGATCAGCATGGAAGCATTGCTTACATACATCAACGATACCCTGAAGATTAAATTATCGTGATCAAGAAGTTTCGTTTCTAGTCATCCATATAAAACTAATGTCAACATTTGGGATTGCGAAAAATAAAATTAACATCGAACAATAGGTGATAAAACGTTTAATAGATTGAATGGTTATATTACATTTCACGTGTCTTGTCAAGGTTTCCTATCTCAGTACACTAATCTGTATGAGATTCATAAAAAAAACTTGAATTAATCATCATAGTTGCAGCAGTCAGGGGTCATAAATTGCCTCCGTAATTAACCTTCAGCCTACTAAAAATGTTTAGCTTTAATAAGACATTTATACTATTAATGTCGAATTAGTTTATCAATTATAAAGCATGCGATAAAATTGCAGGTGCTGGCAAAATGCACGATATGAATGTAAACCAGTAAGTTTATCTTCTAAGTATTACGATATTTATGCGTTTACACAAATTACTAGACCGAACGATATATAACTATTATATTTTGGTCAGTTGCTACTTGTATAAAGGGATCATGAAATTGTTCACTATTTTTTGTTCATAGCTACCATTTCCATTTAATGTAATGAAAACGAATAAAGTACATATGGAATTGATGTTTTTTAAAAGGACTACAGAATTGGCAGGGTCATATAGATAAATCAATATACAACTAAGTTGAAATTGACGCATCTTATATGATGACCATGAAACCAACAAGAAAATACAAACAAGTGGGAACGTAATTATAATTCAAACTCAAATTCCACAAACCTCAGGCAAAACATTAACAAAACAATAAATTACGCCTGAAAATTACTAGGATAATAAGATCAAGTGTTCCAGAAGAGTAAGCGTCTTCTGCTTCATCGACAACCTTCGTTCAAACCTTGGTCAATCCAAGTCAGTGATGTGACGTTATCAAATGAAAGCAATGTATAAAACAACGAAATCAACAGACAAACTAATGAGCATCAAACACATCCATCTTTATTTGTTATGACAACTGCCAAATATTACTCTATTTGTTGGCGATGCATGCATAGCTTCATATTCCTCAATCGTTGGTTTGGATATTTTCAGACTTAAAATGAAACAAACAATTAACCTTCATAGTATCTCATTTTTCTTAGATAATAGAAAACATCAATTCAATTTCCCCAAATATTTTATTGATAATGGTCGCACTGACAATAAACTTATCATCATACTTCTTTCTTAATCAAAACAATAATATTATAATCACCAAATCAACACGCTTATTTCTAACGGACAACATCTGGGAGTTTAAATGCCATATATCCGCCGTTTATTCACTGTTCAAAATTAAAACCAACGATATGCTCAATAGTTTCGTTACTCGAATAACGCAACGCTGTTATACAAATTACGATTTAATTCAAAACATCACCGAGTTCCTGTCACAGAAAGTAATTAATAAAGTCACAATTACAATTATTTATCATACATATCTTGTATTATGATATTAATTTTTGATATTATGCTTAATACTCCAAAATATCACGAAAATAGTATCGTGGTGTTTTATAATTTATACATGGCAAGTGGATAAATATCTATTCTTCTTATTCACTTATTTTCTAATTCTGCAATGTCAGTGCTTATTGCGTTATTGACATATCATAGTTATTTCCATTTTCATTCTTATGTTGTCTTTCTTTCATACTTCTATTTTCATCTATATTTCCTATCTCGTCCGAATGTCCATTTTCACTTATGAATCCGTTTTCATTAATGTTTCCATTTTCACTAATGTTTCCATTTTCACTAATGTTTCCATTTTCACTTATCACAGATAATCTTATATTGTTGAAATCCACTTGTTCACTATTTGGACATAAACTTCTTGTTGAACTATTTCGTCTTACAGACATCCTGTTGGGATGGCCACCATTTTGTATGTCGGTAGAAACATTGGATAGGCGTCGAAGGTTTGATTGGTATGTCAAACTCCTTCTAGAATCTCCAATGAAAGCTGAGTCTCGTCGTATTCTATAACTGGCTTTGATTAGAGAGGAAACCTACAAAACATGAAAACTAAGACTTCAGCCAAATTACAATGAAAACATGATAAACAAAACAACTTAAAAAGAAACACAATCTGAAGAGAGAGGATACCAGGGTCCATAGAATAACTCACCTCTCCGTTGAAATAGCAGTATATGAGCGAAATGATTATTCCCTGGAAAATAAGATTTATAGCATTAAATAATTTTAGATATCATATATATAATGTGTGTATTGACATTTTACTTGTTTTACTAAAACTTTTAAACAAAAATAATGTCATTTTCGCCAAATTCATGAAATGGATTATAATTTCCCAGTGTCACAAGACTCAAAACTGAACACTTTTATTGCATTTGATGTAGCAATTTAATTTTGAAATAAAAGTGAATAGTAAATTTTCATATGAAAATTGAATACGATTCTCAAGTGTGTCTTGTATACAATCTAAGAATCTAGAGCGATTGTACATAATACCTCTAATAAGATACTAATCAACGTCTTTAAAAACACGCAAATGAAATGTTAAAAAACACAGGGAATGGTCCCGTGGGGACAAAACACAAAAATAAGTTTTTTTTCAAAAGTGGACAAAAGAATTTAATGAGTATTTGCACAGTTGGCGTTTAAAACATTTAAATGGCGAAAAGAATAATCGAAGGTACCATCGAAAATTTAATGCCACTTTTAAAATTTAGAAAGCACGGAAGTGAAACAAATTATGTTTCAATAAATTTCGTAATTTCATGGTATCTGGAAATTTAAAAAAGCAGAAAAAGAAGAAACGAAAACGTGAAGTACATGTTTATATTCTAAACCGTGGGTCGATAAAGAATATTGCTGTCATCTGCCTTCACCTGTAACTGAAATAGACCACTTACGTTGTAGAGAAGGTGACCTAATAATCAATATCAGATAAGAGCTGTTGTCAATCATACAATAAGCAGATTGATATAAATATGTGTTTATATCATATATACCTAAAAGTCGAATAATATCTATCTTTGGTATATAGCTAAACGCACACCTGTGAATTGTATACAATTGTAGACGCCATCTGGAAAAAGTCGAAAGCTTTCTGGTCTGGAGGAACCAGGTAGATTATAAAAAACACATGGACACCAAATAGTGGAACAAGGATAAAGGTAGCCTTAATCGCTTGCCTGAAAAAAAACATACAAACCAAAAAATACAAGTCATTTCATAATGACCAACTAATAAGTAAGGATGTTCTTTTGATGACTGCTCTTTGAAATTATCTTAATGATAGTAAACTAGTCATTTTGTTTTAATCAACAGTATAAACGTTAAACTGATTCAATTTAAAATTGTATTTAAAAAACACCTTTGGCCATTTTATTCTAAAATCTTGCTTACATGCTAAATCATACTCAATAATTACTTTTCTCCCAACTAAGTTATAAAAATTGTGTTTGTGACACGTCCTTAAAACCATTTAAAAGCAAATTAGTCAGTTTTACTTGGTTATGATTGTTAATAAATGTTGCTCTATATATATATGCTTATATTGCTACAAGCTATTCTTCTAAAATAGTTAGGTTTATCATGAAGCTAGAGGTTACATTTATTCCATCACCATAAACTAATGAATCATTTCTTTTGCATTGCTGAGTTAAAATCATCATAAATGTTTACTACAATTATCTATTAATACATTACAAATATTGTTAAGGTTTTTTTCAGATAGTCTAACCATTGTGATAAGTATCGCGAAATCGATTGATAACATTGTGACAACATAGAAAATAAAATTTTGATATATACAGTTGCATATCGTATTGTCGGTTAAACAAAACAATTCGCGATTTCCATATGATTCATAGGATCTAATGTTTAAAATAGAATTCCGCGATCTGGCATTAACTGGATATCATTTATTTGACGAATAGCCCTAAGCATAAAGCGATGTACATATTACTTACTACATAATATCTGTTTCAAAGGTTTAAATAGCTGAATAACTCGTAACAACCGATTCATGTAATGAGTGCAAACAGTCTGTACCTAGATGCAACCTAACGATATATCGGTGTTCACAGAAACACTTAATATCACGGACAATATTTCCAAGGGTCTTTATATTTCACGGATCAACATTTTACGATCACGTAAATTACCCAGAAAATAGGGAAAAAATCATCCCCTTGGAAATGAAAGGCTACATGCTATATTGAGGAATCCACCCAAAATTTGTCTCTCCTTAAACGATACAACATCCTATAGGACTGAAACTTCTATTTACATTTGATCATTTGAAGAGACCTCACCTTACTACGAAAAAAAAATAATCCGCGTCTTATTTCGAAGTGATAAGGTATTTAGTTGCTGTTTTGTTTATCGAAGTGATGGTTATCGGACTATAGTAGAAATGTACCTGTAACTTCGCGGCTCTCGTGGATGGGATGACACTTGTCTAATTACGATTCGAATTATATTTAACATCAGGAAAAGATTAATCTGAAACGAGATTAAAAACTGAGTGACTACAAAGGTTATCAATGGTTAATATTGTATTCATCTAGAGTTATGAGATTTGAGATTTGCATCTACCGATGAAATGGAACAGAAATAAAATAAAACATATTTTAAAGCAAATTTCTACGTTGAAATATATTAGTATGATAGTGTAATACACAGCTGCAATTTATGTCAAAGTGAAGTAGCCTTACCACTATACAGACTAACATAGGGGCAGTAATGATCCACTCTATACCACCAGTAGATCCCTCTGGAGGCTGGATCCAACATGACCTTGTAAAAACAGAAAGTTTTGGATGTATGTTGTTGTTAAATACAGTTGCTAGTCTACATTCAGGTTCCGTATTTCGAAATCAGATTTTTTTCGCTTGAGGTAACATACGTTTTTAATAATTAAGTTAAGAACCTAATCATCCATATAAAACAGACAGATGGATCGTGTTTGTTAACTGGATAATGAAAGTAAATTTTAAATTAAGAAAACTTGTACAACTAGGCATACTTGTTCTACTCACTGGTCGTCAGCTAATGTCTTTCGTAGAATTCCGTAAAGAACGGCGAAAAAGGCAGGACATCCTCAAACGAAATGAAAGGTGTTAAACAATAGCAATATATCGTTTTTTAATCATAACATGTTTTATTTTCTTTGAACGTTTTACTACATTATATCAAATGTTATGGCTTCAAGAAAAGTCTTCTATTACTTCTATAAACGATGTACAAAAATGTTCAGTTTCACGTCGTAACAAAAGTGACTATTTTTTCATCACAGTAATTGCATCTATATTATATTATTTTAGTAAAGTTCAGTTACTTTTACATACTTCAGTTGTTGTAGAAACATATATGTGTATTTGTGTTAATGTTCATCCGTCACTCATGTGTGAATAATATGTTGACAATTGATTTCAGTGAAACACGATATAGCAACGCCGTTTGGCATTGATCATTTGCCATCTTCTCAGCAAAGTAATGTCTATCATATGATAAGAACATAAATAATACCATAATAATCGATACTTTCTGCTAAGGCAATAATATCGATGATATATTTTGATAAAACTGGGATATATATAGCTTCCTACCACGTCTTTGCGTGTTCCTCAATGAAAAATGGTTGGTATATTTACCGAAAAATGCAAACATACCATGGTTTTCATTATTGTTTTAAACGAATGTCCAGTATGTGCTTATGTTCTGAACCGTGCAATTTTTCTAATGCTTAGAGAGTAAACGAAAATTACAGAAAACCTCTTGGATTATTGTCAATTAGCAGTGTCTACCTCATGACAAAACTAAATCTACAAAAGAAAATAAGGCCTGAATTTTAGTTCCATTTTACTGAAGCATTTCATTCACACAGAAAAATCAATAGTACTGTAGGTCTCTTGATTATTCTGACAAGAATTGTTAAAGCCTACCCCATCCTAAGATGTAATATCCAACAATTTGTTTCGGGGGTTCGAATGCCTTCATCAATAAGGTGTGCAGAAAGAATCCCTCACATAGCATCCAGAAGAAAGGCGCGATCCGAGCAAACCTCCGGAGTATATTTAAGAATTTACAGCCGTCCTATCAAAAATACAAACATTAATGATGTATTTAACACTCCACGATATATATACACAATATTTTACTAAAAGTTTGTTGACATGAACATTTATTTCTGTCCTGTTAATGCTAAGGCTGAGTTATTTCAATTATGTTGTCTCTCGGGCTTTGTGTAATGGATTTACTTTCAATGCCTAACAAATGATAACACATGTTCAGTGTCCCGATTATATCAATAGCCTTAAATATGAGCACCTGCTTGTCACGGATACACTGGGAAAGAAGAAATATACTGAGGAAGAAATCATAAAGATGACCGAGTTTCTGGTTGACATCTTTGTTGAGTGTAATGATAATATGTTCCAACAGGCAGTTGGGATAGCTATGAGAACTAACTTTGCCTCTCTGTTGGCTGGCTTGGACAGCTTTACACGAAGTGTGATGATTTCAATACTATTCTTGTCAATTTTCCGCTTTTAGATAGCAACAATCCTGCATCAACAACCTGTGATATTTACATGTCATAGCTGATTCGATATCCAAGGGCATGTTCCCATTATCACGATTGTCGTGCAATTGGGAAAATGTGCGGTTTTCATAGAAATATCTTTAAAAAATATTCTAATTTTTGTGCAACATTAAGCTGGACGTGTTTGCTACTCGTCAGTTTGCATGTTGTCGGATGCCTTGTTCTCATTTGAGAACATGACATTACTTACATTCATTGACAAAGATTTACATGATGGGCGTCGTTGGCAAAAAATATGACGCTTACATTTCAATGACTCTCCAAGTAAACCTTTCTTTTGTTATATTTTGCCTTAGGTTTTCTTCATTTAAGTTTCGATTATGATTATGTTTACATGAATATTAACTCTGGAACATATAAAAAAAATGACAACTGTCTCCATAATGAAATGGAACTTAGCCGGAAATAGACAATAGTCGGTTTAAAGAGTACCCAGTGCATTATCTAGATATGTTCTCAAGCACACAAAGATATGAATCAAATAATTTTTCTGAAAATGAAATCAAAACAAAACATTTACAGTTACAATTAAATGGTACTGTTTCATATTAGCAGTAATGTTGATCTGATTTTATTGTCATTACTCACAAATACCTCCGTTCCATACAAAATGACTTCAATTACTTTGTGAAACTATAATTAAATACAGAGAATCCAGCTAAAACCTTTAACCATTATTAAACCATCATGTGATCTTATAAATCAATGACACAAGCAAACCTGGTCAGTGTGAACTAGAGAGTGGGTTCCATCGTGGACCAGTCTGTTGTACCTGACCACTACATCCCAGCACATCCAGATAATGCCATATAAGAGCAGCGATGTGAAGAGATGAATATGTATTCGAATCCTCAACTGTCGACGTAACTGCCTATATAAAAGACATGACAAACATTTTGTACTTCATCACATTAATATCTGCAGCTACAACTGTATTTATTGTGTGCTCATTTCGCTAAAACAATACGACTACTGACATGGCAACATACTAGCTTATTATCAGCCAATGACAATTCTACTCTTTGCTTAAGTCATTTGTTTGGAGCTGAGAAACCTGGATCTAATTCCAATAAATGTTGTGCATTTACCTGTAAAAGATGAAGACGACAATTGCGGGTATTAGAAGTAGTATTCCTAACCCATTCAGCGATATCCCGACAATAATGGAATTTTTATACACCTGGAATAAAGATTGGTTTATATTGAAAATCAAACGGGGCTTCCGTTGTACAGTCAGGATAAGGATCCAAAATAGAAAGAATCGAAAATAGCTGTATTTCCTGTTTGAAACATAAACAGAAAAATCCTATTTACGAAACAACTTAATAAAAAGAGAAGTCAAGTTACACCATTGGGAGAATACAAACTATTTTTGGTTCCATTCAATTTAACAGATAAGCATTATCCAATGGTATCGGACCTCCCGACTATACATGGTCCTCGAGGTGCTTATATACTAGGTAACGGAGGCGTCATTTTCATCATTGGTACTAGTATATTAACATACCAACAAACCAGATGTTGCCTTTTAATCATCTGAAATATACTAGTACTCTTGTTTACTTCCATAAATAATAATGAATTATTTTGTACATTTTGACATATCTATTATTAGGTTATGTCGTTGTTAAGAGTCTTAAAATCTAATATCGTTTTATAAGTATCTGTTTGATAAAGGGCCACAACTGCATCCGAACAGCATTAAAGCATGTGTAGCATGTGTCAGTAATTACTCAAAGTGAGGAAGGAATAGGCATTTCTGTATCGCATTACTGACATTCCTGAGTGTATGTACATACATACTGGAATAGCGGGCCAGCAGATGCTACATATATACACATGCCTGGTTATCTACAATACAGCCACGCTACTCACATGCTTAATCAGAACTGATTTGAAACATTAGACAAACAAAAACTCTTTTCCTCTACAAGTTCTGATAACTTTTACTTTACAATCTACAGTTAAATGTAAAAGTAAACATATAGGGCAAAGGTTAACTTATATTTTGAAAGTTTAACAGTATAGCAGAACCAATTCAAATTCAAAGAGAAACTAACTTGAGGTTGTTATATTTTGATAGTGATAATACATTAAAACTGATGAGTTATATAATGGTATAATACTAATAATCGAAAATACCGTCTGCGTAAAATAGTATATTTAAGTCATTACTGATAATCTGAAGGAAAATGTAGTGTGGCGTGTTAAACATACCTATTAACCTGATAATGGAACCTTTTTCCTGTGAATCTGGTTATGTTTGTTTCTGAATTTGTATTGTATAACTTATAATTTCCTTGAAAGGAACTTCAAGCTATCATAATAGAATCTCTTTGATGGATAAACATGTGATCTATATTTGTGACAAACATTTACATTTATTCAATAATTCCACTCACTATGATCTTTTTAACGTCTTGCATTGGGCATAAGCACTTAATTATAGGTATACTTGCATATCTTAGATTATTTTAATGAAAAAACATAATATTCAAAACTATAAATCAAGAGAGTGATCCCACCTTTCCTCCGCCCTCCATCGCAAAGTATAAGAAGATAGTATACACAGTTCCGCCTTGAATAAATGATGGGTACCTACATTCGTTTTCGTTTCAACATGCGTCTCTACGAGGTAGGAAGAATAGACGGAGAGACTCCAGGAAATGAATGTACTCCGATCAATATTTAACGTTTAACATCGACAGATATATATAGATTTATCTAGTGTTTGCATATGATTGAGAGTTATTGTGTAGTCCACACAATTTTAATTATAAAACGTATTATGTCAATTATATGAATCAAGACGGTGGATTGAATAATGGAGACCTAAAGTGAGAAGTTGATAGGGAGGGAAAATTGAATATTGTAAACAACCATATAAAAAACCAAATTTAAAGCCTTTGACTAACTTCATTTAGTCTTAATATCACACTCCTTTTAAAGTAAATAAAATCCGCGATCCTAAATCTGCTAAGAAGATTTTTATATATGATTACATTCCAAGTTTTAGCATTATTTAATTAAGCTTTTACGTTAAACATATGTTTAATGGTAAGGCGGATTCATTTTAACATGCAACTGACTAGGTCATATTGGAATGTATTTAAAAAACTAAAATAAATATCACACAAGTTGATTCTTCTTCTACGATTGTGACCTCGTCGATCTCGATATGAAAACACAAACTGCTGTCTCCACACCTTCATAAACTAGTTTACGGAGGGAGAAATAAGTTGAAACTATAACTAATACATTACATCGTGAATATTAGCAATCAATGCGTAAGTAACACCTTATTACAGTTATAGATTAGTTCACGATCCTACTACGCCTGGTTTTCTATTTTTTCCTTTAAACGAGTGATTGCAAATAATTGAGATCTGACATTAAAATGAGATTCATTACAAGTATATCGAGCTGTTATATTTATCCTTTACAAGTCATTATTGACGAAATGTATCCCTGTTTCAAAGACCGATTCGGTAATATAGGTATGTCTAATATTACCTTGAGTAAGCTACGGTATTCAGTGGGAACACACGTGGTGTAATCGGAACGTTCCATATGAGACGTGGGGTCCACCCACCAAGAACCGTTAGTTGTACATTGCTTCGTTACCTTGGCTGAAAGTTTAAAAAATAGATATAAAAAATGTGTGAAGGATAAAAAAGTAAGTGATAAATCTTAAGTAATAATGTGATTTTAAAATCTGTTTAATCCGTTGCATCTATTCATATATTAATAGAAATTAGAAAATAGAAAAATGAAGACGAAAGGATTAATGTTTTATTGCTCTGTTCAAGAATACTTTTTACACATTATTACCACAATGCATGGCCCTATTCACCATTGTCAATACAATAGAATTATAAATGTTAGACTTCAAAACAATCCGAATGACACCAAACAGAATTAACATAAGGGCAGCTTTCATTCTTCCAAAACACCTTGTCTTATTCTCTTTGTCCTTTTTGCTTATTATAATTATTTGCTGTTGTCTATACCTTATACATTGTGATACTGAATTCTACACCTTACACTGCTTAAACAAAGGTTCTTGCAACAGGACCAATCCATCCATACTATGTGATTTTTTACTTATATATTGAAATTCCCACTTCAAACGCCTAACAAAGAAAATCCTACTTTACATTTCAGTCTGACAATTTAGTTTACACGTAAACTATGCATATGCTAACATAAGCGCGCGCTTTTAATGAAAATTTGTACCATTATTTATTGTGATGGAATATTCAATCAGATGTTTTAAAGAATTCAATTTGAATGTAATTAACAAGTATTTAAAAGAACCTTTTAACACTTACGATTCATTTCCAAAATGATGTACTTCAAAAACGACGGACAGACTTGACTTGTCGTTGTCCCTTGCTCTGTAAAATCCCAGCATGACCAACCATCCCATGTCTGAGGACACATTGCCTGCCTTGATTTTGTAGGATTTTCCATTTGATTTTCACAACAACTCCAAGCGTTTCTACAACACTGACTCCAATCGTTACAGTCGTATTGTTCCCCATTGATTGTGCTGCACACGTGATCCATACTTGTTTGGTTGTTTACATCGGGAAATATACGAATATTTTCTTTTCTGTTTAAAAGGTATGTAATATACTCGTTTTGGAATAAGGTCATTCTTTTTTGAAACATTGGATTCCGTATAAAGAGGTAAAAATAACATTCAGAGCAAGTGGAAATGCGATAGTATAATGGAGTACGAACTATGCCCCGATCACGACAAGTTGGCTGTTCATCTGATGTATGTGAATCTCTGTCCACTGTGCTCGTGGAAGCAGCGTCCTGAAAACAAAATAATTTAGTGCTTAATAAGGGTAAAACATAACGTGTCGTTATTTTCGGATAATGAATAAAGGCTTGTCAATCTATTTTTAACCACTATTCATGGAGTGTATAATTATCATGTAAATGAATTAAAGAATTAACATGCAAAATAAATCATCGCATAGAGTCAATGTCTGTCAATCATGCTACGAACACAAGTTGGCGTTAAAGTGCTCTAGAGCAACAGTTATTATCTCACTTACTATAATGAACTTATGTTTCATAATTAATCGTGATTATATCAGTTTAGTTGTGTTTATAACAAAACGACAATATCAGATCGCATGGACGTATAACACTAATTCATCTGCACATACCTTGGAAATAACACAGACCACTAAAATCAAGTATATGCATTTTCTGTTTGAAGTCCTCATAGTTCCCCTTTTCGTCTGAAGTCCTGCATAAAATAAGTAACACTTTTAAAAAAGGCATGAGAATGTGTACATTCTGAACCGCTCAACTACTTGAATGAACTAAAACTTGTGATGGAGGTAACGGCAAACCTCGGACACTAAATGTCCAACAGAAGTATCTACCATCTGCAATCTCGTGACTTTCCGTTGTATCTTATAACCAAAATGATATTGAATTACAGATCAGTGCACCTCTCCATTTTACTTTTTCAACTTTAGTTTAGTTTAGTCAGTACACATTCCTCATATGCAGTATGAAATGTGTTTAGTCAGTACACATTCCTCATATGCAGTATAAAATGTGTTTAGTCAGTACACATTCCTCATATGCAGTATGAAATGTGTTTAGTCAGTACACATTCCTCATATGCAGTATGAAATGTGTTTAGTCAGTACACATTTTTCATATGCAGTATGAAATGTGTTTAGTCAGTACACATTCCTCATATGCAGTATGAAATGTGTTTAGTCAGTACACATTCCTCATATGCAGTATAAAATGTGTTTAGTCAGTACACATTCCTCATATGCAGTATGAAATGTGTTTAGTCAGTACACATTCCTCATATGCAGTATGAAATGTGTTTAGTCAGTACACATTCCTCATATGCAGTATAAAATGTGTTTAGTCAGTACACATTCCTCATATGCAGTATAAAATGTGTTTAGTCAGTACACATTCCTCATATGAAGTATGAAATGTGTTTAGTCAGTACACATTCCTCATATGCAGTATAAAATGTATTTAGTCAGTACGCATTCCTCATATGTAGCAATGGTGCATGTGTACCTAATTGTCATTTATGGTTTGGGGTCAATAAGGTCATCTAGATTTACCAGTAAACCGAAGCGAATTTAGTTATCTTGTAGTTTGAATAGCACAACGTCGGAATCTGTTAGTGATAAGGACCGATATTAAACTTCCGAGCAGTCAAATAATCCTAAATATAGAATTACACTTGGCGAGAAGTTCAGGCAGAGACAGTGCTATAATGTTATGTTTTAATGTCATTATGTAGGTTTGCAAATATAGCTTTCAGACACCTGTCAATGCGATGTACAAATTTTAGGGAACGGAAGGACGGATGATGGATAGATTGCAGACGGATGGATGGACGGTCACACAGACCTTTGGTCCTATGTTTGACAGGAGATTTAAAAAATCTTCAGAATATGACGTGTCAAAAATCAGCATTGTAGATGGTATCCTGTTTTGATATCCGGGATGTTCTGTAATACCCCCAGACCTATATAGGACGGTTTTTACCACACTGCTGTAGATCCGTTTTATCTACACGAAAATCTTTTTAGATAAAACGCTCATACGTGTGTGTGTAAAGCAAATACATATCGGTAATACACGCGATATCTCTAAATGTACGTTACAAATAAGGAAATCGTAGCCTCAGTTGGATTCTATATTATCATGACTTCGTAATCGCAAAGTTATCGAAAATGGCAATATATCATCTGCTTGTGACCTAGATTTTTAAGATTTACAGTAAACGAATCCAAGAGAGAATACTATTTTAATCTGTTAAAATACAAAGTGTAAAGATTGAAAACATAAGCATACAAGTCTCTCTATTGTCCGGTATCTGTTTATTTTAATATATTTTTTTTCCAATTCTCCTTATTACATTTTCTCTACACTGCTACTTAAGAGTAATGTCTTTAGGAGAGAACAAAAATCTTATAAACCAAGACCTGTGCCACCTATGATATAATTCAAATAAAACGTACGTTAAAAAGTCAGTAAACCATCTGAAAACGAGAGCAATGAAAGGCACGAAATTTTGATGATGTTGTGCACGCCAATAATGTCATCAGTGAAGACTTTGTACTAAAAGTACACAGAGAGCATTTAAATGTTTCGTTCAGTTGACAATCTCAGAGTTGACTGCGTGATGATGTTTGTTTTATCTTTCATAATATTGATGCATAATTATCGTAGCAACAAAAGAATAAGGACGTGTTCACCGACAAGCACCTCTGTTATTGGTCAGTTGATTTCAGTGTTATGTAAGGACTGGTCGATCACACCAGGATAAGATAATCCACAAGTAAGTCACAGGCAACATGTGTCTCGAGCCGATTATATATATATTATTTTTCATGCATTAATTCTGTTTGTAAAATCAAAATTCTTTTGAAACCGAGCAACAGCATATAATAGGTGTTACCTATGATATATGTTACCTAAATAGTCAGAAACCATGTATTTAATCACAGAAATTGAACGTTATCTTAACAGAAAATACATCACATCAAAGAACTTCAAATGGTAGCTGTTATATGTGGGGAATACATTACGTCAAGCGAGGCTTTCACACATTAAGTGTGGAGTAATCACCGGTCATTTAGTACACACACAGCGGATTGGCTGCAGGAGATAAAACTGCCATTTTATAACACCTAAAGTTGTATTCTCCCGATAAAATTTTATCGAAACCAAAAGCAACAAACGCAATCTTTGTTTGTTATCAAATGCACGCTTTACTGTACAATAAATCATTTTTGTAAATATAGTTGGTATTGTAATATGTACTTAACGTGAAGATTAATCCTTTCGTACTCAAGGGTTTTTATTTCTATATCAGGGAAAAAGAAAAGTCAAAAAAGAGAAGATAATATGAAGTAAAGAACTTTATCACTATCATATTGAGATATATTACACAGAGACAATTGGTATACAATATGATATAATGGTCACGTATACATATATGTAGTTTCATGTAACGTAAATGACCGTATCTTACATATTATAATCACAATCAATGCAAAGGAACAGCACATTCCAATACTTTTTAGGAATTCAATTAAGTAGAACCAAACAATTATTTAAAAGGCAATGTACACCTATTTCGACGCGTCTACATTAGCTAAGCACTACATGGAGAGTCGTATCACCAAACTGTGTGGTATGATAATCTCTATTTCCCTACTGTACATTATAACCTGTTTCTTAATGACATATTTGATTTTCGTTGTACATGGATATATTTACTGCAAAGAAAAAATGACATAACCCAAAGACAATCATATGCGAATTTTTTCCCACGCACCTTTTAGTTGTCAGAAAACAATGAGGACAACATGTCAAAAGGAGCGAATTATGGTAATAATGGAAGGTGTTTGGCAAAAAGCTAATTAAATACTATTTACGTTAAGAAGATGCATCCCACTTCCGTATATAACATATTATCAATGTTGTGTCAGAAGGTATTTTACCAATATGACAAGAAGATATACAGTGTGATGACAATGCATCGGGCTGTGTGATAATTTTCGATATTTGGAACGTCTATTGTAAAATTACTTTACGACAATATGCACACTGTATGCCAATAATACTTCTCACAAAATCTTAAGTAATTAAATCTTAAGATATTTCCATATGCTTTTATTTCCCTTATATCAATAATAAACAAATATCGCATTAATATAAATGCATCAATATTTAACTTCTATCTGAAACAAATATCACAAAGTGTAATGTGTGTATAGTATAGTGAGACATTCCCATTTTAAATGTTATAATCAAAGCATTTTATATTGACTCTCTCTAGCTATCTAAAATCTCCTGATACTTGATTATTTGCACGAGAGAAAACGTTTGATGACCTCATTCATGTACTACTTTGGTCTTACTTTTACTTGAATATCATTGACATGGTGTTAATTTTAGCAGAAATCTCTAAATGTAGTCAGTACCATTTATTCCTTAAATTCATTCACTGGTTTACTTCCTGTTAGTTCAGTTCTTCCCGGATGATGGACGTCATTAAGACTTATCATAAATTTGCGAGCCACGTTTTATTTCATTTGAATAGTGGCTAGGTTCAGAATATACACACGTACTTGATATTCTTGAAATGATAAAATATTAGAAAGTAGATCATTATGTAATCTGTTGAAATATAGTGTCAATTTTTCTTTTGACATATAAATCTTCATTAAATTGTTTTATTACTGCAGATATTAGATATAACAGGGTTTGATTCAACCTTAGTTCAACGTATGTTCGATATCTAAATTTACATTTTGTAACTTAAATCGTTGTTCACAGACCATATTGTATAGTTACCCTTGATATTTTTTATGATAATTATCATTATAAATATTATAAACAGTGAAAATACAGAATATATATGTTTTTCCACGATGTGCTTTTCTGAGAATGGTACTATGAAGTATATCTTAAGTACAAGTATAGCATTATGTATACACTAATTAACGATTGACTGTAAATATTTCTGGTATAGATGTATTAAATGCATTCTGACATTACATCCTTGAATCTGAGGAATATGTATCAATTTATGTCGTGCTGTCATATGTTAAGTTAGACCCAGAAGCCGTTTTCGTCGTTAAATGAAAGTTAAAGTGAAGCCAATATTTCAGCATTAATATCTCCCAACCCTGTTGTACAATATATATATATATATATTGTCTAAATCTGTCTAGAGGCAACACCTCATTCAAATGATAAACCTTAACAATCTAGATTGTAGCTTGGGATCCATTATTATTAATTAGTCA